TGACATGAGACAAAGTATATGTGAACTGCTGTATGGAAAGTGAATTTGCTCTGTAAATCTTCACTCAAATCACAATAAAAAAAAAAAGAAAAAAGATTTAAGAAGGAATGTGATGTAGTTTCTTTTCCTTTTGACTTATAATTAAACCTGATTTAATTTTTAGAAAATTGAAAATCCATTGGTTTGTTAAAGTAAATAGAAAGATAAACTTTCTCTTTGCTGATAACATGGCTTTACTTTCCCAAACTAGGATGAGTGCTGAAGAGATGAACTGCTGATTCTCACTGTCCAAAGAAAAATAACTTAAACATGGCTACAACCAAAATGAGTCTGTCAGGAAATATTGATTGTGCAAGTGACTGTGGCCACAGAATACACACAATACCTCCTTTTCCTGCCCTTACAGAGTTTTATAGTCTAGGAGGGAATGGAAATAATGAAGAGTTGTATTGGGCTGAAATAAGTACCTTTAGGTATGCACTGTATTAAGCACTGTAATAAGTTCCTCAAAGATCCTAGTGGTCTGTCAGAGCTGTCTTCCCAAAGTCAGACTCTTTGCAGGAGCAGTGTTTTCTATGGTTAGGGTAACTACGTGGCACTAATTGCTGTTCATATTTGGGGTCCTGAATCATCTTTTCTGCAATTCTGGTGCAGTGAGTTGGGGTTTTACCAAAATGCATATTCAGGCTTTAGAGCAAACACCAAACCTCTTTTCCTTCTTCTAAAAAAATAATTTAGGTTCATGGTTAAAAAATAATCCAGTGATGCAGAGGGCATACACTTAAAAATAAATGTCTTCTAACTCTTCTCTCTAGTGCTAATCACTTTCTCATACAGCTTTTCAGAATTTTTTTTTGCACATAGTGTCCTGTTTGTGTGATTTGAATAGATGGTATCCTATCTGTTCTAGAGGACCATAGATGGAATCACATATTACATATTATGCTGTACCATCCTTTCATCACTTAATGTTGGCTACCTCTCTATCTTAGTACATCTGGAAGACTACATTTTAAAAAATTGTTATATAGCATTCTCCTGTGTTAATTCATCACTGTTTAGTAAACTAATGCCTTAGTGATTTTTTTTTGTTGATGCTGAGAACAGTGCTTCAGTTAACACCCTAGTTTATATTTTTGTACACCAGTGCAAGTGTAATTCCTAGCTTTGGAATTGCTGGAGCCAAGGATATGCTTATTATAATTTTTAGTAGATATTGACAACTTCCCTTCCTATTTTATACTCTTACCAGCAGTTTCTGAAGACACTTGTTTTCCTACATTGTAGGGGAAACTAGGTATTATCTGGCTTTTTTATTTTTGTATATATTTGTGTTAAAATAATGTCTGGTTTTGATTTGCTTACTAAAGTATATTGAGACAGAAATTTGTGCTTTGAAAAGGCTTTAATTAAAAAGAAAAGTCTAGTTAGTGTGTTTTCTCCATCTTGCCTCTAAAAATAATAGAAAGTAATTTAACATTTTGTCTTCCTTTAGAAGAGTAATATGATCTATGGGTGGAATTTAAGTGGTTTTCTTTTTGCACATAGGTTGAAGCTTGTAGATTATATAGCAAATTCTCTGCCCGGCCAAGCAGCATAGAAGCTATTCCCTTTATTATTGAAAAGGTACAGTATTTAATTACAAGCTCTCCTAGTGACTGTTTTTTTTTTTTTTTTTTGGTTGCTGATACCCATGTTATTTTCATTCTCAGTAGAAGGAGTAACAATTAGAAATATGCACAGGCAGTTAAAATGACATCACTAAACAGCTATTCACATTTTGATGATCACTGCCTTTATGTTTAATTATAGAAACAGAGAGGTAAAATAAGTTAGTTTTAAAAAGTTTTTCCTGTGCTTTAATTTTCTAGACTTTTTTTTTTAATTATGTAAAAGCAAAGAGAAGAGTATAAAGAAACCCTATATGCCTCCTTTTTTCTTTGAAAAATTAGGACAAATTCCTGTAAGACTATCTCTTAATTGGCTAAACAGCATATTATATATTGATTTTAGTTAACCAACATTTATTTATATGTGAAATTATGTTTGAGCTGTTTGAAACCATGAGTTACAGAAATGATTTAACACAGCATCATAGTTTCTACAAACTCTGCCAAATTGTTAGGATGAGAAAGCAGATGAAAGGACATGTTACAGAGTAAAGATTTGGCAGGCAGAGCCTAGTGAATAATTTCTAAGATTAAAGTGTAACAGAACATGAATTTTAATGCCCTACATAAGTATTTTCTTTTTTTATCACTTTCCTTGTAAGCAAATATATCTTTTAAAATATAGAATCAATAGATGGCATTAAATTTTAAAAAATTCTTCAGACTTTATTTTTTTTAGAGCAGTGTTAGTTTTACAGAAAAATTGTGCAGAAAGCACAGAGAGTTTCCGTACACTCCCCTCCTGCCTGCACATTGCTTCTCCTGTTAACACCCTACAGTCCTGTGGTACATGTGTTGCAATTGAACCAATATTGATGCATTATGATTAACTAAAATCTGTCGTTTGCATTAAGGTTCACTATTTGTATTGTACAGCCCTTTGGGTTTTGACAAATGCTTACTGTCCTGTGCCCACCATTACAGTATCCTACAGAGTTCTTTCATTGCCCTAGAAGTACCCTGTGCTCTTCTTATTCATTCCCCCAACCCCCTTGACCATCTGGCAACCACTGTTCTTTGCACTGTGTCTATTGCTTAGCCTTTTCTAGAATGTCATATATTTGTAATCATACAGTATATAGTCCTGGCTTCTTTTATTTAGCAGTATTTATTTGAGGTTCCTCCATATCTTTTTATTGCTTGATGACTCATTTCTTATGGGCATTTCAGTTTTAATTAAAATTGTTTTTTATTCCAATTAAAGATGTCCCCCAAAATTAAAAGAGTGTTTATTTCACAGTTTTACATTATTTTCAGGTGCAATATGTAACAAGGATTGAGAGTTTTAAAATCTGTTCTTCTATTTATAATAAATATAGGCTGTGAGAAGCAGTATTTATGGTCGTCCAGGTGCTTGCTATGTTGACATTCCTGCAGATTTTGTGAATCTCCAGGTGGATACAAATTCTGTAAAGTGAGTAATAGTTACACTGGGATTCTTTCTTAATTGTGTTATCATAATGTTTACCTTTTTAAAATAATTCACCTAGCAGTTTGTAAGTTAATCTTCATTTGTCTTAACTTGTAATGATATAGTAATTAAACTAAATCCCATCCAAAGGGCTTAATTTTCTTAATTAAAATGGCATTATTTTTGTATTTTTTTTTAACTTTTTATGGTGGTTTGGGTGGAAGTTAATAAGTACTTTGGATTTAATTGAGTTTCCTAAACTCTTCATTGAAGTAATTCCTCCAGTTACTATAAACTAAAACCAAACTCACTGCCATCGAGTCAGTCCGAACTCATAGCAACCCTTCCTTGGGTTTCTGAGGCAGTACCTCTACTGAAGGAAGTAGATTGCTGAGTCTTCCTTCTGAGTAGTGACTGGTGGGTTTGAACCACCAGTCTTCTGGGTAGCAGTAAGTGCCTTAGGCATTACGCCACCAGAGGTCCTAAAGCAAACTCAACTGCTGTCGCGTCTATTATAAATGATATAAATGATACATATTAATGTAGTATACATTATTGAAAGTCTTCATAGTGTAAACTAGGAGATGAGGTGACTGTTGAAACATTATTGGGACTCAGTAAAAATATTTTAGTTTTCCTGTCTGTCTCTCTCTCTCTGATTTAAAAATATTCCTATACAGATGCTACTATGATTTGTTATGTCCCGTTATTCCTTAAATAAACTCTGAGTGAGTATGAGAAGCATCTTTTTCATTGGTATCTCAGTCACCCCTGCTAAGGATGGTACTGGGGTTAGTGTCTCAATCTGTGCCCATGTAGTGCATTCCTGCTGCTGTGGGCTAGACGGTTCTATAGTGACTGCAGGGAGACAGTGGTCCTTCCTGTGCACTCAGCATACCAGGGAGGGATTTCTATTTGGGCATGTCTGACAAAAAGAATATCTGTGGTGCACAGTACCTGAGATGGCAATAAAAATAATGCTATTGTGTTACCCAGTGAGTGGAGATACAGTGAAGTAGTTAAAACATGGACTTTGAAAACAGAATGACCTGGTTCACCCGAGTGTCTGCTACATGCTATCTGGGAACCTTGGGCAAGTTAATTACCTTTTCAGAGCCTTTTTTTCCCTCAATGATAAAATAGCAATAATGGTAAAACCTAATTTCATTGTTTTGAAAATAAATAACCAGTAAGTATTAAACATTAGAATTTAATATAGTTTTTACTATTATTATAACTATTATACTATAGTGCAATGCCATTAACCCAAATTTCACATCAATGAATTATCATTATTAGATGATACTAGGGAATAACTGTTACTTTAGTAGATGTGATGAGGATATCATAGTTAAAGCTGCATGAGGAAGTTTTTAAGGGTGAAATGTCTTGATACCTGTAATTTACTTCAAAATGGTTCAGAAACACACACACATATGTTGTATGAAGTAGATGTGATGAAATGATGTTGAGTCTAGATGGTGGATATATGGGGTTTATGATACTATTTTTCTACTTTTTATGTATTTGATATTACTCACAATAAATAATTTGAAAGTTGGCCTCTTTCAATTAACAAGACTCTTTATTTCCAGGTATGTGGAGTGCTGCATGCCCCCTCCTATTAGCATGGCAGAAACTTCTGCTGTACATGTGGCAGCATCTATTATCAGGAATGCCAAGCAGCCCCTCCTTATCATTGGCAAAGGTAGCATCACATGGGACTCTAAGTCTTGATAGACTTTAAAAAGAATGGAGAGTCTGTTTAGAAATTGTCTTTATAATTTATTAATAGCTCCACTAATGTTTGAAATTGGAATAAAAATTCATTCATTTAGTATTTTAAATCCATTCATATATGTAGTATAATTTAATCTTTTTAAGGCTTGGTACACATTGTCAAATTGCTTTCTCCCAAGGTATTGTGCATTTACACTCCTATCAGCAATTTGTTATAGTATCCATTAGGAATTTTTAGAACTGAGGCTATGAAATCACACATGGTTTAAATTATTACCTTCCCTCATAGTTTCCATGCTAGTCAATTATCAGCTATGTGGGAACTAACTACATAGACATTAAAATTGGTTTTAATTAAAATGGTGGACAGCAGAAAAAAAATTGAGACCAGAGCTGTTTTGAATGCATGTATAGGCTCTGTGACTTTGTCAGACAACTACTTTGAGTCTCAGTTACCTCACTTGTAAAATAGAATACTAATTACCTCAATGGGGCAGTCTACTTCCGTAGTGATACTGCCTCAGAAACCCAAGGAGGGGTCGCTATGAGTCGGGTCTGACTCCACCACACATAACAACAACAATTACCTCAACAGGATTGTTACAATTAAATAACAAAATATACAGAAAGCACTTAATGGATGCTAGTTTTCATTCTTCCCTTAACACACATTTGCTGAGAGCTTATTCTAAGGCCAGGTTATAGAAAACATTCATGAGGGTTACAGAGGAATAATAGTCCTTAGCCACAGGGAAGTAGACCTGGTAACAAATAATTGCAGCATATTCTTACGCAGCCTTTACAATGAGGCTGAGGTGGATTCACAAGGGAAGGCAGCAACAATTTGCTTGTGGTGAGTGGTGTGGAAAGACTTTCCAAAAGAGATGACACTGCAGCTGCCCTGTCAACAAAATGGATAATAGTTTATCAAATGGACAAGGAAAGCAGAGGCAGTCCAGGAAGAGGGAACCAAGTGTACAAAGATATTGAAGCAGGAAGGAGAATATAAGAAAATTTTGTATGAAAAAGAACTGTTTTTCATGTGTGAGAAAGGATTTTAACTAAAGTGGTTTTGTAAGGGGATCATTATGTTCAAATGTAAATATACTATTTACAAGGATTTAGTAGATAATTTAATTATAAGTTCTGGAAAAAGTATTATTCTACTAGCCATGAAAAGGAGTATTAAATAGCTTTAAAAAATGTATGTATGTATATATATGTATATGTATAT